AGCCTGGGGAGGTCAGGAGTCCGACACGGCTGCGAGGCGTCAGCATCGAGGCTGGCCGCTCCTGGAGGCTGCAGGGGAGACTCCGTGTTTGGGGGCTGCCCCCATTCCTTGGCTCCTGGGCCCTTCGTCTCCCAAGCTCATCCCCACATCTTCTCTCTGACCTGAGCCCCATCGCTCTCTCTTCCCTGTACGATAAGGTGACCAGACGTCCCGCTTTTGGCAGGACAGTCCCACTTTTTAACAATTTGTCCCGCTTCCTGCGGCTTTTTAAAAAAGTCCCGATTCTTTCCCAAAATAGGGACGTTTTTTAAAACGCCGTGGGACGCGGGACAAAGAGTTAAAAATCGGGACGGTCCCGCCAAAATCGGGACATCTGGTCACCTTACCTTACGAGGATCCCTGAGAGGACAGCAGGCCCACCCGGGTCATTCAGGACCATCTTCCCATCCCAAGAGCCCGAGTGTGACCACACCTGCCAAGTCCCTTTGGGCTCCTCCTTCACCCAACACAACACGCTGTGCCTGCCCCTGCCGGCTCACACAGTCTGTTCATGTCCGTGATCCCGTCAGACTTCCCAAAGCAACAGGCCAAGTGGCTGGACCACGGTATCAGCCCCGCATCGCAGGAGACACGCTGAGGCACCACGCGCAGGCATGGGCACCACAGGGCAGCTGATGACCACAAACGCACGGGCCAGACCAGCAGTTCATGCCTGGCCGGATGTGCGATCGTCGGCGCAGGCATTTCACGTTGGAACGAGGGTCTCACTCGTCTCTCCACGCCTGCTTTCTCCCCCCGGGGGGAGGGCTGCCTGAGGGACCCCCAGACCCGGCGGCAGCCCAGCTCAATCCCTCTCAAACCCTGCAGCCTTGGGTCAGAGAAGGACGTGTAGTGTCCACACACCAGTGCGCACATGCTCACACACGCAAGCACACGCACGTGCTCGGCGGGCTCCTGAGCCTCAGATCCCCCCTGCATGGGATGGGAGTGCACGGACCAGACTGCACGGTCAGGCCCGGGGCCTGGAGGAGGGGGGATGTGCTTGGCCCAGGTCCCGAGGCAGATGAGGCGGAGGGAGCGGCCGCCGCCGCCTTAGACCCGAGCTCCAGGTTCCTCGGTGAAGACCGCAGAGCAGCGAGCGCCCGGCACCGGGGCTTAGAGGAATGGCCCTGAACCACTCGTTTTGGGTCTGTAACTCAGAAAGAAAGAAACTTCCTTGATGCTTAAGCCACTCTCTGGGGGTACCTTTGTCCCGGGAGCCTGACTATTACAGATTGGGGCATGCAGAGGGAGGGGCCACCACAACCAAACCAAACCCGTCTTCTGGCCTCCACGGTCCGGCGCCCAGAGCCACGCTCGTGAAAACTGCTGACCTGTGCTGCGGGGATCCCGTCGTCAGCACGTTCCTGCGATCCCTGGGAGGCAGACCGCATCCCGACGGACGGCCTGGAAACATTGGGAGAACTGGCTGGAAAAACTCAGAATGTGTGGGGTGGGGAGGGGGTGTCAGCGGCTGCTGCTGCCTTGGGCAAGTGATACAGGCGAGTGGCAGAGGAGGTGGCTTTGAAGAGGCAGTCTCAGGGGGAGATAAGAGGTGGCCCCCGCCGCCTTCCCCCCACCCCCCTCCACACACACACACAAGCTCCTGCAATGACAGGCTCTCAGCCAGACAGGGAGCCAGGCCAGGGGCCACAATCTAAACAAGGCGCTATCTCCCTGCCCCAGCCTGCAGGCCCAGATAACGTCAAGGTGGCTGCTCTGAAATGAATGGGAGGAAGACGGGCCAGGAGGGGAGGCCCAGAAAGAAAAGGCCGGGTGTTGATAAGAACAAAGAGCCAGGGCTGGACACTATCTGTAAGTGGGGTGATATGCAAAGTGGGACAGTCGGGCGCCCATAGGCCAGAAACCTACTAAGTTTTAGAGGGGAATGTATTTCCAGGTGAACCACAGCCCAAGTGTCAAATCCAAGTTCCTTTTTTAAAAATATATTTTATTGATATTTTACAGAGAGGAAGAGAGAAGGATAGAGAATTAGAAACATCAATGAGAGAGAATCGATCAGCTGCCTCTTGCACCACCCCTACTAGGGATGTGCCCACAACCAAGGTACATGCCCTTGACCTGAATCAAACCCAGGACCTTTCAGTCCTCAGGCCAATGCTCTATCCACTGAGCCAAAAACGGTTTCGGCCCAAGTTCCTTTTTGATACACACACCACCCTCCTTCCCCCCAAAGGAAGGCCTGGGCACCCTGGACTGGGAACATGGCCGGAAATGTGTTCCGAAGGCGGGCGGTGACCAGGAAGGGTGACTTCCGGTGTGGGCTCAGGGGGGACGGGGGTGAGGGGAGGCGGGGAAGAGAGGAGACCGAGAACAAGGCATTCCTCTAGGAGAGCAGAGACAGGGTCAGCTAGCCAGCCGAGGCGGAGTCCTGGTGACTCCTGCCCAGCCATGGTGGTCGCCCTCCTGGGCCCACAGCGGCTGCACGGTCCACCTGCCCTCTTCCGAAGGTGGCTTCCCAGCAGCCCCCCATCCCTGCACCACTATTGAGGGGGTGCGCAGACCCCCTGTCTTTGTCGTTTATAACTTTTAGGTTCCCTGGTCATAGAGGGGGCCTTGCATCGCCCACGGATCCTGGACACATCCGGACATGGTTCCTAGAAGGGACCTTCAGGCTGGGCCCCAGCCAAGGGGCAGCGTGTGCGCACAGTATCAAAGGCAGAGGGTGCATGGTAACCAGGGGCCCCAGGGGGTGGTCTGTGGTGGAGACGGTTAGTTGTCTGCAGTGCCCACTGGACTCTTCTTCCCTCAGTAACAGAGCTCTCTGAGCTTGAGCATGGCCCAGAGCCTCCCACCCAGGACCGTGCTCCCGCCTCCCTTGCAGCTAGGTGAGGCCAGGTCACCAACTTCCCGTTAACGGGACGTGAGCCCAAGGGACACATGCAGCTTCCGAGGAAGGGACCATGCTCTCCGTTCTCTTCTCCTCGTTCCCTGGCTGCATTGTGGATCTGGCGGCAGGCACGACTTTTCGTGAGCAACCAGGGGTAAGGTATCGGCAGGGAGCAGAATTGTTCCAAGGAGCCTGTGCCCAGACCCCAGGGAGCTGCCTCCTCAACCCTGCATGTTGAAAGAAAGAAAGAAAGAAAGAAAGAAAGAAAGAAAGAAAGAAAGAAAGAAAGAAAGAAAGAAAGAAAGAAAGAAAGAAATGTTCTTCTTTTGCTCACAGTGCCATTGGGATCTTAGTTACAACGGCCAATCTTATCAACTCACTAATACAGTCCACAGTGTCTCTCCGCGCAGGTCCCAGAGGGTAGCCTGGGGGAGTTTGAAGGGGGCCTCGCCTCGGCTTTGTTTTTGCCATTTTAACCGGGAATATTCTGTAGCATGATGCTCAGTGGCTCCCTACATCTACCTCTTAGGAGGAAAAGGCTGCATCGTCGGTCTCCATAGCAATGTGGGGAGTACTTGTAAACACGAAAACACTCGTACACATGCCCAGAATCACTGCTGCTCCGGCAGACTCCCCCGGCTGCCATCCAGGGTTAAGTGGATGATTTGCTCCTTCAGGGAGCGCTGGACTCGCTCCGGGTCCTCGGTAATTTATTCATCGGTGTCTCAGCTCCGTGGTCCGTGAAAATGGAGATCACCACCCCTGCTTCCTCCCCAGGCGGTTGTTGGGATTCAGCAAAGCGATGCAGGTGGACCGCGTGGCACCGTGCCTGGCACCCGGCCAGCCCGCAGGCACGTCGCCTGCCGAGTCCTGATCCGTGTGCTCGGCGCCCCCAGCTCCGAGCCAGGAGGTGGCCACACACGAACCGTCCAGGAGCAGCGGGGTCAGTGCCCGAGAGGGGACCGCGGAGCCCGGGCAGTTTCGGGGACACGTGGAAAGTTCATGAGGTCAGACACAGTGGGGAGAGTATAGAGGTCCCAGGTGGGGTGGAGTCATGGGCTGAGGGATGCCAGCGCTTGGGAGGATGCACAGACAGGGGCGGGGAGGGGAGAGGTCTCGGGCCCAGCCCTGGGGACCTGTGACCTGGGGGAGAGAAGGAGGAGCCAGAAAGGCGGAGGGGGCAGCAATGAGGTCCAGCAACATCCAGGCCCCGGTGCGCTAACCACACACCCAGCAGGTCCCTTCCAGAGCCATCCGCTTCCGAAGAGCTGGGACTGCATCCACGTCATTGTTCTGTCCTCTGGGGCCCTCGTCCCTTCGGCAGCCTCCTTGCCACGTCCTGGACACCAAGCATGGCAAAGTGACCTGTCACTCTGGTGCCAAGAGCCCTCCTGTGGCTCTGCGCCACGCAGTAGCATGGTGGATGGGTACAGCCCTCACACACAATAGGTGCTTTCACGTTGGCCACATCAGCCCTTGAGTCTCACGCCCTGAGTGGGTCTGGGGCTCCGGCCTAAGCCGCCGCGTGCTCCCCCCAGGGGGGGCTCGGTGGCGTGGCTTGGCGTCTCGGCCACCTCTGCCAGGATGCGGGTGTCCTCAGGGAACCCCACGGAGCGGGTGCCACAGAACTGGGAGGCACTGTTCCCTTCCGTCCTCACATCGGGCTGAGACTCAAAACAAAACTGTCAGATTTCAGAACATTTCACAGCGGCAAAAATAACTGCACTTGGGGAAAACATGCAGACACTTCTCCTCGGCATCTAGTCGCTTCCACCGCGTGCCAAAAGCTTCTGGAGTTGACAGGTTCGGTTTGCCACGCACCAACTGCGCCTACCCTGCCAGCCTCGCGCCCCGTGGCCCCCGGCTCCCGGCGCCAGGACCTCGGCACCAGAGACGCGCTGCGAACCACTCCTGTGTGGCCCTGCCGAGCGCTGATTCAAAGCCACACCCTGCCCCGGTCCGTTTGGCTCAGTGGGTAGAGAGAGCGTCGGTCTGTGGACCGAAGGGTCCCGGGTTCCGTTCTGGTCCAGGGCAAGCACCTTGGTTGTAGGCTTTTTCTCAGCCCGGACCCTGGTCAGGGCTCCTGCAGGAGATAACCCATCGATGTGTTTCTCTCCCATCAGTTTCCTTCTGTCTTTCCCTCTCTCTTCCACTCTCTCTTTAAAAAAAAACAAAACAACAACAACACAAAATCAATGGGGAAATATCCCAATGGGGTGAGGATGAACAACAACATGCACAACAATATGCCCAACAACATAGACTGAGGAACAAGAACAGACCCAGAGATAAGGAGCCAGGGGTCAGACTGTCGGGCCTCAGAGGGAGGGTGGGGAGAGATGAACCAAAGGACTTGTGTGCAAATACATATGAGCCTAACTAGTGGTCGGGGACAATAGGGGGTTGAGGGATTGGAATGGGGGGTTGAGGACAACTATGTGATACCTTAATCAATAAAGGAATTAAAAAAAAAATGCCCAGAATGCACATGGCTGGGGTGCCAAACCAGCCTTGCCCCCGCTCCTGTGCGGGCACTCCCTGTGGACCACCTCACCGGAGCCGCCCAGCCTCCCAGGGAAGACCCCAGTTCAGAGAAGGACACCGAGGCTGAGAGAGGGGCCACCACCTTCCCTGGGCGACGCCCACCCAGCCGAAAGCACCACCTCCCAGGCCCCTCGGCAGCCAGGTGTGGCCACGTGATGACGGTTCATTCAACGGATGTGAGCAGGACCGTCCCCCCTCCCGGAGGCGCCCTCCCCTCGCCGCACTGGATGGCAGAGCTCAACCGGTCAGCCTGGACCCACGAGGGCAGCAGAGCCGCGGGCGGGAGCAGCCTGGGTGCTGACCCGGAGCCGGAGCCGCCATGGGAGCTCAGCGGGCCCTCTGAGCCAGTTGGTAAAAGAGGAACCAACACACGCACACACACACACACACACACACACACACACACACACAGACACACACACACTTTGATTAAGTATCCGGCAACAGAGGGCTGTTGTCACAACTGTTTCTGGGACCAGGGCCCACCAGGGGAGCCGTGTAGATGCCGAGGGGTTGGGCCTATCACGGGAGCTGGGCACGCGTGGACAGGAGGGCTGGAGGCAGGGCAGGCACCGGAACCCACTCCTGTCCTTCAAAGGCCCCACTGCCTGTTACCTCGCAGTGGCTTGAAGTCTGAGCTTGGTCTCTGAAGCTGGGGAGATGGCAGTGCTTAGAGGGGTGGCAGCAGAGAGATCGGGGGACATCCGGACACGGGAAGGTTTTGTGTTGAATCCTCCACCTGAAAATGTGTGAATTGACTTTATAGAAAGAGGCAGAGAGAGAGAAACATCCATGTGAGAGGAAACATCGATTGGCTGCTTCCTGTACTCGCCCCGACAAAAGATCCAACCTGCAGCCTAGGTATGTGCCCTGACCGGGAATCGAACCCACAGTCTTTGAGTGTATGGGACCACGCTCAGCCATCTGAGACACAGGAGGGAGGGCACCACAAGTGCGGAGAGGAGGAGGCACGGGGCCCCCGAGCAACAGGGGCCGGGCTGGCACGGGTTATGTGGGGCTGGAGCTCACGGAAGCACCTGCTCGGTGGGCCGACCCGGGCTCGGCTGAGGCCGTGAGGCTGAGGTGTCTGTGAGGTGCCAGCTGAGCCTGGCAGGTGGGTAAACAGGTCTCAGAGGACGGTTTGGAGGCGCCCATGGGGGGATGATGAGCTTATCCTGAGAAGTAAATGCCAGGGGAGCAATGAGACCAGCTCAGAAGAAAAGGGGGCGAAGGTCTAAGGAACACCAGTATTTCCAGGCTGGTGGAAGGTTGCTCCTCCGAGAAGCCGGGGGGAAGCAGGCAGAGAAGAGAGGTCACATCGGGATGGGGCCCAGAGGACCCTGGGAGAGCAGCTGCCTGTGTCAGTGCAGACAAAGGTCCCAAAGGGGCTGGACCCCCTCAGAGAGTGGCTGCTGGGCCTGCTGGATGGGGGCCGCTGAGGGAGGAGGGGGTGGAGTGTCGGGAGACAGGAGGTGCCATGGGGGGTGTTCTTTGTGGCTTTCCCTGAGACAGAGTGGGGGTACAGAGCTAGCTGGAGGTGGGGTTCAGAGAGAGGGTTTTGAGGTGGGAGACATCAGGGCACATGGGAGCAGGGACTGAGCCCAGGGTGCAGGAGGGAGGGAGAGCTGACAGCTGACGGAGGAGGTTTTATTCCAAGTCCCTGGTTTTTTGCCATCCTGGATCTAGACCGTTTTTGTTTTGTTTTTTTACTTAATATTTTTCTTAAATCTTAAGTAGTCTTGCTTTTTAAACCTTGCTTTTTCTTCTAGGCAGCATTCTCAGTGAAATCACAGATGTGATGGGTTAATTTTTTTTCTCTAATACACATGAAATCAAATACTCTATTATGTAACAGGTCCGTCCACGCACCTCTAAAATGGTCCCGAGATCCGGCAGGCCTGCCGCGCTTCTGTAACCGGGATGGGAGGGAGGCCCGAGGTGCCAGCTCTGGAGCCAGGTGGCCTGGGAGACCCCTGCCTCCGCTCTCACCAGCAGGATGCAGCCTCCACGTCCACAGGATGGAGAAAAGCACTGTCTCTCTCCAGAGTGGGTGTGGCCCGGCCAGGGGTTGAATGCTGACCCATGAACCAAGAGATCGCCAGTTCGATTCCCGGTCAGGGCACATGCCCGGGTTGTGGGCTTGACCCCTGGTAGGGGGCGTGCAGGAGGCAGCTGATCAATGGTTCCCTCTCATCAATGTTTCTATCTCTCTATTCCTCTCCCTTCCTCTCTCCCTGAAATCAATAAAAACATTAAAAAAAAAAAAAAAAAAAAAAAAAAAGAGTGGGTGAGAAGACAGAGAGGAGTGATCCACACAGGGCCCTTAGCGTAGACGCTGCTCCACACACAGCAAGATGGTCACCATTGCTGTTTATCAACGGCCCTGCTGCCTCCTGGTGAGCCTGGGCCCTGCCCATTTCAAGCCCTTTGCCCAGCCCACCTCCCTCAGGCCAGAATGTTGTAGAATATTCCAGAAAGGCTCGCGCTTCAGAGCCCCTGACAAACGTGAGCAGAGGAAGAGCCCACGTGTGTGCCACTCCATGGCACCCGTGCCCCAGGGGCATCAGCCCTGCCTGCCAGACACAGAGGCTGCCCGCATGAAGGCTGGAAACACCCATCCTGCCCATTTCTCACCATCTATTTCCTTTTTGTTAGTCCTCACCCGAGGATATTTTTTCCATTGTTTTGTTTTGTTTTGTTTTGTTTTAGGAAGAGTGGAAGAGAGAGGGAAAGACAGAGAGAAACATCCATGTGAAAGAAACAAATCGATTGGTTGCCTCCAGGGCCCAGGCTAGGGAGGAGCCGGCAACCAAGGTACGTCCCCTTGACCAGAATCGAGCCCAGGACCCTGCGGTCCACAGGCCAATGCTCTGCCCACTGACCCACACCGGCCAGGGGCTCACCATTTTTCAATTCGGTTCTCTCCAAGCTGCCAGGCTCTGCAAATAAACCTCACCCTTCTTTCCAGCAACTGCTTCCTGCACGGTCTCCCCGCGCAGGTGGGGATCCGGGCAGAGCAGGTCCCAAGGCAGGTTTTCAGAGCGGGATGAAACGCCAAAGAACAGGCCGTCCAACCTGCTCCCCCCGGACAGGTGTGTAAACAGGTCCGGAAGGGCAAGGGCCTCGGGGTCATCACCCCGCAGGGACGAGGTCAGCGGCTCCGGAAGCCACATTCCTGGGGCTTTTTCCCCCAGGGCAACACCCTATTGCCACACAAAGGGGCCGCCCACAGCCTCCTGTCTCTCTCTTCTCTGCAAAGTCACAGCTCCGCCTGCGGACGGATGCCCGGTGGCCTGGCTGGGCGGTGGCCGTCTGCACGGAGCAGAAACCAGCCGCATCGGGGTCAGAGCCGGGCCCGAGGGGGCAGACACATGCCGTCCTACAGGCCCGGAGCCCTTGGCAAAGGGCGTGGCGTCCGACTGACCACAGCGGCGGCCGGGCGGGTCCCACATACTCTGCTTGGCTGCGGGACCCGCGCCAGGCCAGCGGCACCCAGGGGCCAGCTCTCACTCCAATGAGAAGAGCCTGTGATTGGCGGGAGGTCATTTGCCCCAGGACAGCTGGCCGTCCAGGACAGGGGACACCCCCCTGGCCTCCAGGGCCTCTCTCAGGCCACGGGGCAAAGGTGAGCCCTGGCCCAGCCCTGATTAAATGACTTCAAATGCTAACCCGCCGGGTGCAAAGAGCAGAGGGGAACGTAAACATGTGTTTGGAAGGAGCACTCTCCGCTCTCGCTGGCCCTCTGCCCGCTTCCACTTTGGGCCCTGGGCAGACCGTTAGAAGCAAACCTCTCACCAATTACCCAGAGCAAAACAACTCCCAGGGGACCCGCTGGTGCCAGGTGGAGCAAGAACGAAGGCCCTTTGGCAGAATACCAGCTCTGTCTCTGGAAATCCCAGGAGATGCCCACCATGTTGGCACTGGCAGTGCCCACAGCCATGCCTGTCCCTGCTCCCCACTGCCCTGCCCACTCCCTGCCCCAGCCATCTCTCCCCTCCCCTCAGCTCCTGAGCCAGAAGGTACCACTCCGCTACCAGCAGCCAACACTGAGCCCACCCCCTCCACCCCCTCCCACAACCCATGCCACGGAGGTCCAGGAAGACCAAACAGACAGGGGAGGGTAGCCACCCCAGGCTCCGTGGGGACCTACCTCTAAGATTCAATCACCCCCTCCCCATCGCTGACACTGCTGGGCTCTGGGCAACTCCGGCCAGGACTCGTGTCCATGGCAGGCAGTGGTGCTGCGTGTTCTGGGACAGGGGCGTGGCCGTGGCCGGAGGCTGCCCAGGAGAGGGCGGGCTCTAGGAAAGCATCTCCCCTCCTCTCCGACCACCGTTTGCCGATCCTTAAGGAAAGCCGGAGGAAGGACCTTTGCACATGCTCTGTGGTGACCAGGGCCGGGGACGTGGGCCTCACCGTGTCCTGGAATGATCCCACGCTGCTCTGAGCCGGGCCTTTCTGGAGCAGATTGGAAAAAAAAAAAAAAACCCCAGATTGGGTGGGGGCCTTGCCAGCTGCTTGGGAAAATGTCTTTTCAGACCTTCAGGGTGTCATCGCCTTGCTTCCCTTTCATCTCCTTCAGGCTGTGGGCTGCATGGCCCTGCCCTGCCGGCTGTTGGCCAGAGGCTGGGGCCCCGGAGAAGAAGGGCCCCTTGCTCCAGGAGTTCTGCCCGGAGCAGGAGACATCCTGACAAGAGATAGCAGCGATCCTGACCCCGCATGGTGGGGGGGGGGGGGGGGAGGTCAGGGAAGGCTTCCTGGAGGAGGTGGCTCCTCAGGCCTGAGTAGGAGTTAACCGGAAGACAAATGGGGATGGGAATCCCAGGGGGCGGGCCTTGGGATGGGAGCAAAGCTACCTTAGAGGATGCATGGCAGGGTGGGCAAGGGCAGGGCGAGCCTAACGGGGAAGACTCGGGGGCCAGCCGGATGGGGCATCTGTGTCCCAGGAAGGAGTGCGGGCTCTATGTGGAGAGCCATGGAGAACCATGGAGCGCTTTAAGCTGGTGGTACCATAGCCTGGGTTCATCTTGAAAAGCTCACCCTGAAGGCCACCAGGCACAGGGCAGCGTGAAGGGAGGCAAGCGAGGGGGGCATGGCAGCTCGGAATACCCCATCTGGATCCAGGGCAGTGCATGCCCAGTTCTCCCCACCTGGTCCCTTCTCCGGCCTCACAGTCCCTCAAGCTCACCATGATTGATTTCTCTGCCTCTGAGCCTTTGCATACGCTATTCCTCTGCCCACGGTGCCTTTCTTTTTGCCTTATGCCCGTAGGACGAGTGCTCAGGGCCCGCCAGAAAACCCATCCCCGTGTTCCTCCCGTTCACCTCTCTTCTGGGAAGAATTTATTGCTCCTTCCGGTGGTTCCAACAGGGGTCTGGCCGTGCCCCAAGTTTGCCGGTCCTCTGGCCAGGAGTCAACCTCCCCACCAGGCACGGGGCCCACGGAGGGCAGGGCTATGCCTGGTGCCCTGTGGGTTCTGAGCCCGGAGGCAGGCAGAGCACCCGCAGGGTGCGCTCCCCGGGAGGGCTGGGAGGGTGTCCTGGGAGACCTTCCTGAGGTCACCGTCAGTCCTGTGACCTCAGCTCCGGCTCATTCCAGAGCAGCTCAGCCCCGTGTGGGCGAGGGCAGTTGTTTACCCGGTGCCCTCGGGGTGGACAGCAGGGGCCAGCTGGGTGTGGTCACCCCTTCTCCCTATCCCTGCTGTCCAAGCAGCCCTGTGCCGAGCTCTGCCCCGTGCGGTGTGAGAAACACCCTCTCCCCTGCCCCCCGCTTCCAGCCCGGCCATAGCAGAGCCCCGTCTGCCCTGCTCTCGCTGTCCCCAGCCGGCTGCTCGTCGGAGAAGGTCCAGTGAGAGGTCCCGGCCCGAGGGAAACAGGCACGGCGATGCCGCCCAGCGCCCCCGGCAGGAGGGACGCACCCCTCCCTGGGCCCTGGGGGTGCTGTCAGCACCCGCCGCCTGCCGTCCTCTGGAAGGTGACTCAGCCGACTCGGGCTCCCTCACCCAGGATCGAGCCCCTCCCAGGTGGCCCACATCCAGAGCCTGGTCCACATAAGGGCACAGAGGGCCAGGCCCTGTAAACGTCTGTGATTTCTGGAGGCCACACTCGGGAATTCGGCTCTGACCCGATGCCAGGTGAGCCAGAGGAGGCCGCCCCGGAGCGGGCCCGGAGCCGGAAAGGCTGGGCCTTGGAGCACGGGTTCTGCCTATGGCCTTGGAGGTGTCCGTGCTAGGAAAACTGCCAAGTGGATTTTATGGCAAACCCCAAAGAGGGAATCTCAAAACAGATGCCTCGGCGTCCGGAGCAAGCCCTTGTGACATCTGCAGTGAGACTCGGACGGCCGTCGCTACCCAGCTCCTGCCGTGCGGCTGGACGCTGCCCGAGGTGGGCGCCTGAGCACTGAACGTCAATGGCCCTGTGGCTGCACTGCCCGTCAGGACGCGGGTCCGGCCAGACCGACCAAGACTCGAGGTGAATTGGGCCCAGCGGCATTCCCTCCTAAAACGGATGGGGTGCGTCCGAGGCTCTGCTCAAGCAGGACCCGACCCCTGACCTCCCCCAGTGCCTGCCCTCAGCGTACACATGCGGCCCTTCCAGCCAGCCGGTGGAGGGGGGCTCTGAGCTCGCTTGTGGGGGAGTAGCTCAGTAGGGGAGAGCAAACTGAAATGGACGGTGGCTGCTCCCAGCCCCTGGGGGTGGCCTTGCAGAGGGGACAGGGAGGAGATTCCAAACGGGCAGTCCCAGGCTTTGTGTGGGAAGAAGGGTGGCCCAGAGTGAGAGATGGACTCCGGGGCCGTGGCAATCAGCGTGGCCAGCTGGCCAGGGGCCCGGATGTAGACCTGTGAGATCAGACCCGAGAAGGTCGGGTCAGAGCATGGGGATGGCGCGCACACGGTGTGGAGGCCTGGCTATGGCGTGTTCACGCCCACTGGAATGCAGTGGGCTACATGGTTTGGCCACCTGATCCAGCCAAGCCTTCGTGGCACAGGAATGCACGGGCCACGTGGCAGCGTGGCGGTGGCCCTGCCCCGCAGCTCCCCTTCCCAAGGCTGCTCCGGCCGATGCGTTAGGCCAGTCTGTGGTCGGCAAACTCATGAGTCCACAGAGCCAAGTGTCAACAGGACAACAATTGACATTTCTTTGGAGAGCCACATTTTTTAAACTTAAACTTCTCCTAACGCCACTTCTTCGAAATGAACTCGCCCAGGCTGTGGTATTTTGTGGAAGATCAACACTCCAGGGGCCAAAGGCACTTCCGGTTTGCCGACCACAGCGTTAGGAAAAGTCCGACCTGCCCGGAACCAGGACCCCTGCTGAGGCCCCGGCACAGGGCCACTCCTAGAGGGGACCAGTCAGCCCTATAGAAGCGCATTAAGGACACCGGACCTCCTCCATCCGGAAACGGCAATGATGCATCTCGATGGGAACCGAGAAACAGCGTTGGTGTGGTTGGTTGCCTTTTCTGTGCACGTGGCCTCGGTCAGCACCGCCACCCGAGAGCTCACAGCGTCCGAGCACTGAGGGCCCACAGGCAGGAGCAGTCATTCCCAGTGACCCACTGTGGGGGGACCCGGGGGGGTTGTGCCTCCCAGCCCTGCATCCCAAGACTCCACTAGAGCTCCCAGCCAGGGACACAGGAGGTGTCAACGCACCACAAGCTGCGGTTGACACGGACCACCCAGGCTTCTCACAACCAGGAGGCAGCAGACGAGAAGTGGCGTGTGGGGGACCCCGTTGGGCACCTCTTGGTAGCCCCCTGCCCAAGGTTGGTGGTGCAGCAGCCAAGGTCTGAAAGGACACGGCGGCCTGGGGCTCAGGCCATGGGGCGGAAGTGCCAGCTGAGGCGGAGGGGACCTGGAACATGGAGCAGAGGAGGGAGAGGACGGCCACCCGTGCAGCCCACAGTCCCACTGCCGTGGCCGGGCTGTGGTTTGCCCACCGACCTTCCTCTCTGAGTTTCTCTAAGAGACAGGGGCCACCAGAATGGAGAAGTGCTCCCAGCTCTGTGTGAAGAGGGGACCTGGGCGTGCAAGGGGCCTCTGCTGTGAGGCCACAGTGCCGCCCCAGGCCCTGCAGGAGCTGTGTCTCCGACAGACGGGCTCTCGGCTTTCAACCCTCTCGGGGACCACGGATGGAGGCTGAGGAGAGCCACCCAAGGTCATGTCCTCTTCTGGAGGTCAGCCCCCTGCAGCGAGAGGTCAGTGTGAGATTAGGAAGGACCACCCTGGAGGCCATACCCCCCTCCCCGCCAAGCTCCCTGTGGAGGCGGCTGGGGCCTTCTTGGGGCTTCATTGCCGCTCAGCTTCCCTGAGCTCTGGGCCCCCCAACCCCCTCTCCCTCCACGTGTGTGGATCCTGAACACGCCCCCTAAACTGTCCAAGTTGAGTCGAGGGGTCCGACCTGCGACCCTGGGTCTCTGAACGACCCCATGGAGTCCCTGTGAGGAGCAGGGTCGGCGCTGCCCCCGGGGGAGGCTCTCGCTCGCCAGCTACACCCACCTGGCTGGCCGTGGTGCCTGGCAGCCCGGACCCGGAAGGAGCAGGTGCTCAGGGAGCCAGTGGTGAGTGGACGGATCGAAGAGGGGACTCCAGCCTCGGTGCCTGTTTTCCTGGCCTGAGCTGCCTCCGCCTCCTTCCCTGGCACCTGCCCCCTCGGCGATGCGCCTCCCTGGAGACACACCTGAGACACTGTCCTCTGGCCCCGGCACACAGGCCCATGCAGGGACCTGGTCCAGGCCTCCGCCTCCAGCCTCACATCCATTTGGGAACAGTTCCAGGGCTCTGGGGGTCTGGGGTCTGCCTCTCCCACCAGAGTGGGGGCCCTGGGGGACAGGAGTTGTGGCAGATCCACTTGTGGGTCCTCGGTACCCAGGGCCGGGCTGGGCCGGGCATTCGGGGAAAACCTGTGGGAAAGCCTGTTTCCCCGTCTGTGGTCAGGCAGCCTCAAGCAGCACGGCCCCCCAGGATGCCCAGCCACAGTCCGTGGCCTCCCAGTGATGGGGAGAGAAGGGGGCTCCTGCTCCGGGGTCCCAAGACATGCCTGCAGACTTGAGGAGGGCCCCTGGCAAAGGAATGCCACCACCCCAGCCTGTGGTACAAGATGGCACCCCCAACCCCTGCCCGGCCAACCCCCAGCCCCACCCACCACGCAGCCCGCCGCTGCATGCTCTCGCCCTGACTCACGAGGCCAAAAGCAAGCTGCCTGGTGGTGGGAGCTGGGCAGCGCCTGGCCGGTTTCGGAGGAGCCTTCCATAAACACAGCCACCACTAATGAGGGCTGCGAAGAGGCTGCTCCCCGGGGACCCCCGCTTCCTGCTCCTCGGCCTGGGTGTGGGAACTGGAGGATTCTGGGAACACTCTGGCCCGCCTGGCAGGCCAGGCAGTGGGGACAGGCAAGGAGGGCCTCCCCGGACCCAGAAGCAAGCCCTGGTTGACGCCTGCCGTCTGCCA